TTGCAGACTGTGGTTCAAGTCCTGGGCCCAGTGGCTTGAAACTCATGCTGGGTATGTGTGTGTGGGAGGAGAATGAAAGAGAAGGGATTGCAGTGTGGCCATCCCCCCAGGAGGTGATGATTTCTCACTTCCCCTCTCACTCTGTCTGTCTGTCTGTCTCTCTCTCTGGTGAGTGCATGTGCCCTAAGGCAAAAACCTAAAAAAAAAAAAAATTGGTTGGGGGTAAATATACCAGCATCCCAGTTACCTATTCATTTGCTTCATAACTACTTATGTGAAACTCTGAGATTCAGGCTGGCCCCAGGGCCTGGTGGCTAAGGCAACTGGATACCACGTGGCTGAGACACAGGGTTTGAACCCTAGCTCTGGTGACTTAAAAAACATGCTGGGGCATGTGTGTGTGTATGCTCCAAATCCCGACAGGATGGGGAAATGAAGGGGCTGCTGCATGACCATGCCCTGCAGGGGAGTGCTGCCTCCCTCTCTCTGCTTCTCTCTTTGGTGGGCAGCACACGTGCCCTCTGGCAAATAAAAACAAAAAGAAACAGAGAAAACTCACTCTGAGAGTCCTGCCTGCTGCCTGATTATTCTCGCAGCTGCATGGCACAAACAACATTTTTATAAAAATATGTAAAGATTTGAATTGATATTAGGCAGACTCTTCTACAGTAATTTAAAATTTACTACATTCTGTCTTCCCAATTAGCTGTCAAGTTAAGCTCTCTGTTTTGGTCTATTTTTCTGTCACCACAACTGCACTACACACTAATTTATAAAGAATAAAGGTTTATGCAGCTCAGTTTTGGGGGTCCAAGGTTGAAGGTCTTCTTGCTGGTGGGGACCTTATAGAGAGTCCCGAGGTGACACAGAGCAAAAGTGTGTGTGCCTGTGTCCATATGTCCTAGCTCTCTCTCTTGTAAAGCCACTGATATTCAGTCGTGGGGGTCCCGGCCCGGTGCTTCTCTAACTGTAATTACCTTCCAAAGGCTTCATGTCTTTTTTTAAAAAAAAAGAATTATTTTATTTTATTTATTTATTATTTCAATTTGACCAGAGAGGATTGGAGTGACAGAGAGAAAGAGAGATAGAAAGTGAGAAAGCAAGCCGCCAAGTCCGGGACTCAAACTGTGGTCAGCCATGTGGGAGTCCAACGCCCTTAACCACCACGCCATCTGCCAGCCCCAAGGCTCCATGTTTTAATACCATAGATGCATTAAATTTTCTTTAATAAATACTATTTGCTACATTCCCTAAATCTCTGGAGAGAGAGAGGAAAAGTTAGGAAGTAAGCTACCAGGTCCAGAACTCGGACTGTGGTCAGCTAAGTGGGAGTCCAGCACCTTAACCACTGCACCACCTCCTGGCCCCCTGTGCTATATTTTTAAAAGTTTAGTTCTTCTCTGAGGAAGCGAGACAGAGAAAGATCAGGAGAGAGAGAGCACCACCCATAGGTCTTGACGCCGTGATCCACCATAGCCTCGGCCAGTGCCAGAGCAAGGCCACGCTTGTCCTTGGAGTACCAGGGACTCCTTCATGTGGGCTAACCCCCCAGAAAAACGTGTTTTAATAATACCACCGTGCCACAGTCCAGCTCCTATGTGTTTTTCAGTCTCTCTAAAAGTTAGAGATATATTTGATTTTCGTTTCCTGTAATATTGAACTTATTACTTCTGTGATCTTTTTAAATTGTGCCTACTTGTTTTGTTTACTTCCTTGGGGCCATTTTTAGGTAGTTATGTCCTTCACCAAATTAACAAACAAACAAAAAAAACCAGTTTCAGAATTCTAGTTTGTTTCTTTATTTAAATATTGGGCTGTCAGGAAAGTCGTGATGTCTTTTTGCATTAAAAAAAAAAAACACAGAAAAATAGGTCATGACTTTCCCGATGACCTAATACAAAGTCCTTCTTCGGGGTGTTAGATGTTGTTGCTTTTGTTTTTGTTATAGTTGCCATTATTACTAGTTTTGTAGTTACTATATTTCTTCCTCTCTTCTCTGGTCGGCTTTTCCCTCTAATATTTAAAAATAAATTTTGCCAAAGGGTGCATGTGCTTGCCTGAGAGGGACAGAAAGAGGGAGAGAGAGAAAGCGAGTAAGCACTGCCCCCGCCCCCCAGGGGAAATGGTCACGCTGCAATCCCTTCTCCTGCATTTCCCCCACCTGTCAGGATGGTAGGCATGCATGCACATACCCCAGTATGTCTTTCTTCTTTTTTCTTTTATTTTGCCGTAAGGTACATGAGGTCACCAGAGAGAGACAGAGAGAGAAAAAGTGAGAAGTACCCCCAGGAGGGACAGCCATGTTGTAATCCCTTCTCTTCCGTTCTCCTCTCAGGATTTTGGCCACGCATGCACATGTGCCCAGTATGATTCTCAAGTCACTGGGTTTGGGCCTTGAACCACCAAGTCTGCCATATGGGATCCGTTGACCTTAACCTCCATGCTGCCTGATGGTACCCTCCCCGGCATGTCTCGCAAACCGAGTTGCCAGTACAACATTTTAATCGGGATTAGATGTTGAGTTTTATGGGAGCTTTCTCAACATCTTTTGAAATTATTAGGTATTCGTTTTTCTGGTTAATGGTAGTTGTTAGTAACACTCTCCTTGTAATATATGATCTTCATATTCCACTATTTGGTGGCCATCAAGTTATTATATCCATTTATGATAACATTTTATCAGCATAGTGCTTGTCTCATAAAATAGATGGGGCAACCCAACGTTCTCTGTATCCTAGTACAGTTTAAATAACATAAAGACGTTCTTCGAGGAATTCGGAAAAAATTCTCCATTGAATTCACTGGGGCCAATGGTGTCTTGGAAACTCATTTTGTACGAACTATCTTCCTTCGATAGTCATCTAGCCACTGTTTCCTACTTTCTGCTGTGTTCTTAGAGTTATGAACATTGAGCTGGTCATCTGTCTCCGATGAATGATCACATTTCCTTTTCTGTTAGATAAAAAAGAAATGTCATGGAAAGAATTTCTGCCTGGTCAGAAGTTGGCCTGAACTTCTAACATTATGGTTAGAGTCCCTCTTCTTTTTGCCAAGATCCCCTGGCAGATAGGTGGATCTCTTTATGCCTCTTGTTTTAACCCCCTCCTGCATCCCAGGATCATGGCTTCTGCCTTCTCTGGCTCTAACCACCAGGTCTGGCCAGTCCTGCAATTGTTCCTTGTCAGCAAAGTCCTGGCTCCCCTTCAGCCTCCCCAATTCAGTAAACCGCTGGGTGAACCAGGGTCCCTCTGTGCCCACAGGTTTTTCCCTCCTGTGGTTGCAGGTGAGTATAGCGTGGCAATGAAGACTGCTGGCCCTGGAGCCAGACCAGTGTAGGTTCGAATCCTGCCTCTGATGATGTTCTCAGCTTTCTCGTCTGTAAATTGTAGATAAGAGTCTCTATCTTGGAAGATTATTGTCATGATTCCTTCATTCATCCAAAGAAAAAAAAAGTTCATAATTGCCTAACGTGTATCATGCATTGTTTTAGATGTTCAAGATAAAGGCGGTGAACAAAAGAAATAGAATCTTTGTCTTTGTGGGATTATTCTAGGGTATTCAGATGAACAAAGATACAAGAGAATAAACTGTGTAAGTAAATATAGAGGCACGCACTGAAGTCACATGTATTTATTTTGATATATTACATTTATCTATCTAACTAAATTTAAGATGCTATTTATGAATAAAAACAAAGCGATTGGAGAAAGAGGAAGCAGGAGTGATATTTTATCTGGGTGGTCCATGAGGGTCTTTCTGAGGAGGTAGTGTTTGAGAGTGATCTGAATGAAGTGAGGAAGCTAAGTGTGTCAGTAACCAGGAAAAGTGTTCCCGGGAGAGGGGCTGCCCAGAATTAAGACCTTCACAGGAGTGTGCAGGGGACTGGACAAATAAAAATGTGACGTAATTACAGAAAGAAACGAGCTGTGGCCGATGCTCCCCTGCCACTGTTAGGGTTGTGATAAAGGAGCCCTGAGATGGCTTGGGCGGGAATGGACTCCTGACCATTAGCTCGAGACTCTGGCGTAGGTTGTGAGAGCTGGTACTTTCCTCTCTCCTGTTTTCAGAGAGGTACGCATGGCCCACTCACCCCCTCCCGTTTCCAACTCACCAGCATCCCTCGCTCCTGCTCCCCACACCCTGTCCCCGAGGGCTTCAGATGTCTACTACGAATTTCATGGGCTGCATCTACCTCTGTCCTCGGAAGGTGACCCCAGAATGGGGCACTGCACACGGCACAGACTAACCGGTGTTGCTAGTCAGGGCCCAGGCCCCGTCTCCTCCCTCAACCCTGCCATGCTGAGAATAACCCAGTTTGGGTCTGGAACCGAACAAACAGAGGCATTCTTTAGGCTGTGGGCCCTCACAGGCTCACAGCCCTTGTCTAGTCCTGGATAAACCTCGAGGCGCTCAGGGGGTGGGGAGGATCAGCCATGAGGAAGGAGGCCCCTACACATTTTCTTTTAGGTTGTGTTGCAACCTCACTTCATCTGCATTTTCTCCACTGATATCATCTGCTCCCAGGTCATTTTGATGCTAATCTGGACCTTTGCCCTTTCTTGTTGCTTCCTCAGTAAGCCAACCCCTGCCACAGCACACATTTCAATACCACAATCCGGAGGGAGACAAGTAGGAGGTGTAGAAATCCACATCGTGATAGTTTTTATTTTTCTTTTCATAAAGAAATGCAACTTTATTATTTTCAAGTACATATGTAGTGCCTTAAACTAATGTCTTACAAAAGGTCACCAAGTAAAGATCCTATAGATGTTTCTTTAACAAACACGTAAGGATTGATGATAATTAGTCCATGCACTTGCTACTTCTAGATGGAGGATATTCCTAAAGTGCTTGAAAAGTCTTTTTTTAGGTAGACTAAATGTGCCACCCATAGCAATGTTATTTATGCTTTTAATTTACTAGACAAATGCAGTTTTTATTGATTGTGCAAAGATAAACTTTTGTCCACAGTCAATATCTCAAAATTATCCCACCCAAAATAACATGGTTTCCCATTTAGCTTTCCAAGCCCAAGGCAATGACTCACTTATTTCAAGGTACTTCTGATAAAGCAAAATTCCAGTGCAATGAAATAGAGGCCATTGGGTGACTGTCTCTGGTCTTGACCTAATGTGTTTGTGTTTCTTCCCTTTCTGCCTTAGGTCTTCCATTCCCCTTAGGTGTTTTCCCTCACTTGGCTCATCTAGGTCCCTCTGCATAGGACATCCTCAATGCCTTCTAAGCCAGGCTTGGAGAAGGGGCAGAGCTGCCTGCAAAGCAAAAACACTAGGTGGAAAGGGAGTACCGGAAAGAAAAGTATCTATTGTAGGAGCCTGAAAACCAACTCCTACCTTGGGGATAGTGAACACAGTGATCATCAGAGTGAGGACATTTTCCAGGAGGCAAAGCTCCTAATAGTTTCCCTCTTGTTCAAGGTTCTGTGTCCATGACCCAAGCTGATACTGTGTGTCCCTGGAATATAGGACATCTCCACCCCATTTTCAGCCAATGGCTAGAGAACGCCTTCAGGGCTGGCTTGGCAATGCCTGGGAGTGAGGCAGGTTCAGCCAGATGGGCATGAAGGGGAGGGCCATGGGAAGGGTTAGCAACCCTCCTCCCAGGAGAAACATGAACTTCTAATGACTTAGTATTCTAAAGAGTGAGCTGTCACCAAGCATATGTGATTGAGAGAGCTGGAGCTCCCATGACATCTGGCCTTGTGGACCAAGAGGACCGCCAACCAAAGCTCAGTGGGGTGCCCTGCATACATGGCTGTGGTGTCTCCATGAAGCTTCTCAGTTGCCTTCTGGTCCTGCTTCTGCTGCTACTCTGATGAGATCTGAAGTTGGCTTACTGGCGGGTAATCAGGAGAGGTGGGACCTGGAGCCTACGACGTCTATCTGGAGACTTGAGACACATCAGATGTCCTGTTGTTGGCACGCTCTCTATCCTTTTCTGTCTCCTTGGTATTTTCCTCCTCCAGCCAGTTGTCTCCAACCTCCCACCTGTGTGCCCGGCTCTCCTCTGCAGGTCTCTAGCTAGCCTCGACAGAAGACCAGCCTGGACTCCACAGCAGCTTCCTTTTCTGGTTTCAGGCCCTTATTCTCACCAGGAAGAGCTTTTTGTAATGTCAAGGTCTAAAGCAGGAGGCAGAGCACGAAGCAGACAGAGCTTGGCAGGAAGCAAATAAGGTGTGAAAGTGGGCAGGGGAGTGAGGTCGGAGAGCTACAGGGACACTTGGTGATCTGAAAGGTCCCTGCCTTTGGACATTGACCTGTTCAAGTAGGAGGTGAGGGCAAAGGGATGGGGAATAGGGAGGACTGGGGTAGTCCCTGATTCCTCAGTGGAAAAGAACCTAGTAGAGTGGACCGGAAAAGGATCGAGTAGGGGACTCTACCATGCGGTGTCTAAACTGATCACAGTTAGGTCTATGTGGCAGTCACCTCCAACTTATTTACCTACTCCCTCCACTTAGCCTGCTGAGTTGCCTCATTCTCTCTCCCCAAGTCTTCCCCCCAAGGAACACCCCAATGTTTCCATCCCTCCCCTTCACCATCCCTGCAACACCTCCGGAGCACCCCATCTTTCCCGTGCCCGGTTCTTCTTCCACCAGGCTCAGTAGTATGTCTCCTTCTCCACCCAACCTGTTGGAGAGATTGGGGGCGGGGGTTGCAGTAAGCTTATGAAGGCAAGAGAGCACTCTTCTAGGGGTTCAGGTGGAAAGAGAAGCCTGGGGAAGGCGCTCGGTGAAGCAGGTTGTAAAAACGTGAAACGGGAAGGAAATGAATGAGCTGGAACATGGAAGCGAGGAGAGAAGGGTGAGCCTGCCTCGGGGAGGCTTGTGATCCTTATTTAGCACAGTGGAGGGTGGAGTGGTGGAGAGTGGCCCGTGGTGGAGATAGCATCTACAGGGGGCAGCCATCCACAGTGAGTGTGTAGGAATGTGGGCATGGGGTTGATGGCTCTTTTGATTTTTCAGAAGTCAAATTCAGATTTGATGTGAAAGCTTTAGTTTTTAGACATTGGGCCAATTTCAAAAGCCAAACATGCACAAAATATTGGGCAAATCAAACCAAACAATATTCATGGGTCATATTTGGTTTGTAGGCCATCCATTTTTTTTAAAAGAGATTTTTGCTACAGGGTACATGTGCTCGCCAGAGACAAAGAGAGACAGAAAACGAGAAATCACCGCCTCCCCCTAGGAGGGATGGCCACACCACAATCCCTTCTCCTCTATTCTCCTCTCAGGATTTTGGGCACACTTGCACACTGCCCGGTGCGAGTTTCAAGCCATCTGGGTTCAGGACCTGAACCATGGTCAACTATGTGAGAGTCCAGCAACATAACCATTATACCATCTGCTGGTCTCATAACGTCTAGTCTAGTAAGTGATCAAAAATGCTTATTGGGAGATGGTGGTGCAACACCAAAATGTGGAGCACTGTGAGGCTGACTCACACGGGAGCATTCCAGGCTCATGTCTGGAGACCTTTCTGCACACACCTATGATCCAGGGGTAGGGTAGATTGCAGCATCAAGACACTACTAGGGAGGCCAGCAGGTAGCATAGTGGTTACATTGCTGGATTCCCACATAGCCAACCATGGTTCAGGTCCCAGACCTGGTGACTTGAAAATTATGCTGTGTGCATGTGCGTGCATGCCTAAGATTCCAGGAGGAGATGGAGGAGAAGGGATTGCAGCGTGGCCCTCCCCCCTTGGGAGGGACACTATGGGGTGTTGTCTCTCTCTCTCTCTCTTATTCATCGAAGAAATAAATAAATACATTTTTAAAAAGTTGTTGAGAAAAAAATTATTGCTTGATGGTTGAGAATCAAGAGGCCTGGATTCTAGTTCCTGTTCTGCTAGTCCTTACTTTGTGACCCTGAACAAATAAATTAACTTCTGGGCCTCTTCTCTTTAGCTGCAAAATATGGCAGTGGGAATAGATGATCGTGAAGGGCCCCTCTAATTCCTATGTTCTGTGATTCCAAGGGTAGGTGAAGGTCCTCAGATGCCAGTTACAAGTTAGGTGGGACTTAGATGATGAGCGGAGGAGAGCAGGGAGAACAGCTTTCAATGAGTCAAGAACTGAGGACTGGGGACCCCAGATTCCTGAAAATTGAGGAAGAAAGCCAGGGATCCAGAGTGGGGGCAGAGGCTGGGTTTGGAGCCCTGGAGGCAGGGGTAGCCAGCCGGGCCGGGATGGAGCTGGACTTTGCTGAGGGCTAGGGTGGGCTGTGAAGGTGCTTACCCCCGGGATATCGCCGTAGAATGAGCTTCCGGACCTCATCATAGATGAAGATGAGGAGACTGTAGGGGAAGGCACAGAACCACCAAGTGACCCTGAAAGCGATGGAGGAGCATGAGAGGTGCCCGGTGCGAGTTTCAAGCCATCTGGGTTCAGGACCTGAACCATGGTCAACTATGTGAGAGTCCAGCAACATAACCATTATACCATCTGCTGGTCTCATAACGTCTAGTCTAGTAAGTGATCAAAAATGCTTATTGGGAGATGGTGGTGCAACACCAAAATGTGGAGCACTGTGAGGCTGACTCACACGGGAGCATTCCAGGCTCATGTCTGGAGACCTTTCTGCACACACCTATGATCCAGGGGTAGGGTAGATTGCAGCATCAAGACACTACTAGGGAGGCCAGCAGGTAGCATAGTGGTTACATTGCTGGATTCCCACATAGCCAACCATGGTTCAGGTCCCAGACCTGGTGACTTGAAAATTATGCTGTGTGCATGTGCGTGCATGCCTAAGATTCCAGGAGGAGATGGAGGAGAAGGGATTGCAGCGTGGCCCTCCCCCCTTGGGAGGGACACTATGGGGTGTTGTCTCTCTCTCTCTCTCTTATTCATCGAAGAAATAAATAAATACATTTTTAAAAAGTTGTTGAGAAAAAAATTATTGCTTGATGGTTGAGAATCAAGAGGCCTGGATTCTAGTTCCTGTTCTGCTAGTCCTTACTTTGTGACCCTGAACAAATAAATTAACTTCTGGGCCTCTTCTCTTTAGCTGCAAAATATGGCAGTGGGAATAGATGATCGTGAAGGGCCCCTCTAATTCCTATGTTCTGTGATTCCAAGGGTAGGTGAAGGTCCTCAGATGCCAGTTACAAGTTAGGTGGGACTTAGATGATGAGCGGAGGAGAGCAGGGAGAACAGCTTTCAATGAGTCAAGAACTGAGGACTGGGGACCCCAGATTCCTGAAAATTGAGGAAGAAAGCCAGGGATCCAGAGTGGGGGCAGAGGCTGGGTTTGGAGCCCTGGAGGCAGGGGTAGCCAGCCGGGCCGGGATGGAGCTGGACTTTGCTGAGGGCTAGGGTGGGCTGTGAAGGTGCTTACCCCCGGGATATCGCCGTAGAATGAGCTTCCGGACCTCATCATAGATGAAGATGAGGAGACTGTAGGGGAAGGCACAGAACCACCAAGTGACCCTGAAAGCGATGGAGGAGCATGAGAGGTTGGCACTGCGGTCACAGAAAGTAGGACTCGAGTGTATCAGAACTTGGGTCCTAGAGGGATGTGACACTCACTTGAGCGGGTACATGCGTAGGGCCACGCCCATGCCTGGGCAGTAGGACAGAAAGGCAGCCAATGCCGTCTCCTCCAGGAGTCCAAAGATCAGAATCTTGTTTCTGGAAAAGCAAAGGAGGATAGGTCGTTCTTGAAGGGAGGTCAGTCGGGCAGAGATCCAGGGACACTCCCAGAGGCAAGGGAGAGAAGGGAGAGAGGACAGAGTGTGAAGGAAGGGGCATAAATGACCCCTGCCTATGTTCTCGTCAAACATCCTCTCTCATGCTTTGCGTAACCAGAGGAAGATTTTCTCTTCTTTCTGCTTGCTGCGTTTACCTCTGATTGTGGTCCATGGTGTGTACATTCATCCATTAAAATAATTGTTCGTTAGCTGTTGGGTAATGGGCTCTGTAGTGGTCGAACCAAAGCCTACCCTCATGTAGCTGAGAATATTGTTAGACTCAAGGCACACAGTTCATGAAAATGTCATCTCTGACTTTCTTATAGTGCAAGACCCGTGTCCTTTTTAAACTACATAATTTAATATATCATTTCCAGAGGGTGTGTTCAACAGAGAGCGACAGGGAGAAGGAGAAAGCATCCGGTGAGACGCACTCACAGCACGATACCTTTTCCTCCTTGTCTCCCTCTTACCGGGATCGGAGGCACGCATGCACACATGTCCAACATGTTTTCCAAACTGCTGGAGCCAGGTTTCAAATCATGGCTGGCTGGGCAATCCGGCCCCCTTCAATGCCAAGCCATGGGCTGGCCCCCCTGTGTGTCTTACGCATTCTCAGGAACTCCTGCCGTCTCCTACAGTCCCTGGTGGTTGTTCATTGTAGCTACTCAGTGGCGAAGAGAGTATCTGTGAAGTTTTTAGCACAGGGCATGCGCCCCGCACAGTCGTGGTTAACACGTGTTCACCATGTCAGAACTGACAAGCAGTTTCTGAAGCCAGACAGGTGGGATCTACTCCCAGCCCTGTCCCCTCACTAGCTTTGGGGTGTAAGAATGCTCAACTCTTCTCCGTAAAGTGTAGATTTAACCTTTTATGTCATAGGGGCTGCAGGGGAAATTGTGGGACAGCGATTAATCCTATTGTTACTGGATCTTTTATATTCTTATGCAGGGCACCTCTTCGTGGCTTAAGACAGGTAGTCCCAAACTTTTCTCTTATTAAAGACCCCTCCTATGTTTTTTTTTTTTTCCTAAGAAAAGCCCTATCTTAATTGATTTGTCTCTCAACCTGCATTTGTTAGTAAGTAATATATTTCCTCATTTAAAGTTAATTAGAAACATCCACGGGGGCTGGCTGGGTGGTGCAGTGGTAATGCACTGCTGGAGTGAGACCAGGTCCGCAGAAGACGAGGGCTTGGCTCCCACTTCGACCTCTGCATGCCATCTGGGTGACTGGAGGCAGGTGGTCTCACCTCCTGGGGGCCTCTCATCCATGAATGTAAACAGTAGTGCCCTAGAGCTACCCTAAAGGCGAATCATGCCTGCTGGGCACTCAGCATGGTGCCTGGCGTGCTGCAACCCCCATCATGAGAGGTGCTGACCCTGGCCCTGAGAGCCAGGCCACAGAGAGCGGCCTTACAGGCCAGGTGCCATGAGCACAGAAGACCCTGGGTTTAGACTGGGCAAAGGATAGGGGGTGGTATGGAGTTATAGGTGAGGAAGGGAGGGAGGGAAGGAGGAAGGAAGGCCAGCAGTATGGAGAGATACAAAGGAAGAAAGGAGGCTGTGACAATGCACATTTCGGGAGCAGAATAGAACTCATTAGAAAGAGTCACGACATTCCTTCCTCTTTGCTTGCCAGTTACAAACCAGGCTATGGATACACAGCTGGGTCTTTGATCAGATACCCCGTTAGCAGATCTGGGCCCAGCGTGGGGAGGAGCTGTGGCTTCCTGGGTTGGAAGCCAGCCTATATGGGTTGCTGAGTGTGCCCTGAGCACACTGCCTGGGGCGGGGGGTGCTCACTTCATGCCCTGCTGGAAGACCGAGTTGCGGCGGGTCTTGCAGATGATGAGGTCAGCCCACTGCACAACCACGATGCTGGCAAAGAAGGCCGTGTGGCAGGTGAACTCCACCACCTTCCTCTGCTCGTAGGTCTAGCGGGAGGGCAGGTAGAGAGCGGCGAGAGTGTCAGAGGACAGGGTAGGACCAGAGGGCAGTGTGGGCTCAGGGCAGCTGACAGCCACGGGCACCTAACCCGCCTTAGCCCCGAGCCCCAGCTGGCTCCTGTAGGCAGGCACTCCACTCCCTGCTTCACACGCGATGCCCGGATCTTCGCAGTGCCACTCACCCACTCCTGGCCATAGCTGTCCTCCAGGTCATTCATGGTCCGGTCATCCCAGTCGAGGCGGATGCCCAGCAGCCGTGATGGCAGGAAACCATTCTCTGCCAGGATCACGAAGTAAGTGAAGAAGCCGCCCAGTGCCTGGATCATCCCTGTAGGTGTTGGGCAGGAGGCAGGACTGGGTCAGAAAGGGCAGCAGGGTGGGGCCAGCTCCTCAGGGCCAGAGATGGAAGGTCTTGACTCTTGGGGAGCTGACCCTTCTTCCGTCCCTTTGAAAACCTGGGGAAGAGCCCTCTGGGGGCCCTTTCGCGCCCTAGGGTCCCTCCGAGCTGGGGCCTGCGCACCTATCTGTCCGTAGGCCATGCTGATGAGCCTCTCGTTCACCAACTTGTCCGTCTGGGAGTTCCGTGGCTGTCGCTTCATGATGTCACTCTCTGCTGCCTCATAGGCCAAGGAGATGGCGGGGACCTGCGGGCACGGGCAGTGGGCAGCAGAGGGCTTTGCCAGGAGCGGTGGACAGACAGTATTGAGGAAGCCTCACCCTAACTAGACAGACGCTTACTAAGGAGCGGTTACCTCCCAGGCCTTGTGCTTGCCTTTAACCCTCGCAGCCCGGCCAGCTGCACCCCGCTTCCACCTGCTGCCCACCTGTCCCCCGCTGTGCCCACGGATTGCCTCACCATATCCGTGCCCAGGTCAATGCAGAGGATGGTCACGGTGCCCAGAGGCAGGGGGATGTTGGCGATGATGAACAGCAGGAAGGGCGTGATCTCCGGAATGTTGCTGGTCAGCGTGTAGGCGATGGACTTCTTCAGGTTGTCAAAGATCAGGCGGCCTGTGGGGAGGTTCTGAGGGCATCAGGGAGATTAGAGGGACCCTTCCCCACCCCTAGCCCCCGAAGCATGGCTGCCCATCCTCCCAAGAGAGGAAGAGCTGGTGTCTGAGGGACGCTACAACAGGCTGGGGCTGCCTGGAAGCCCAGGCGGGTTCTCCAATGGGAGAGAGGCAGGCGTGCTGGCTTCACGGCCGGATGTCATCCTCACCCTCCTCCACGCCCGTGACGATGGAGGCGAAGTTGTCGTCCAGCAGGATCATGTCGGGTGCCTGCTTGGGCAGCTCCCACGCGGA